TGTGACCACCCTAATATACGCATAATAACTATTTGATTAAACCACCATACATACATTACAACAAATGCTGATATGTACGTACCGCACACAAGGTTCGACCCACATTTATTGTATCTGTGTACTTAATTTGGTGTCAAACTTATAACCCAATATCACATTGTCCATAAATATAAACAGCAATAACAACAACAAATAGTGTTGTTCTATTTTTGTCATAGTTAATTTGAATCAGACGTACGGGCGTACTCAATCAGTGTCATATTGTTCGGAGAAAGGATAGCTAGCCACTATTCTAGGAGATAGTGAGTTAATTAATTGCTTTCATGTCTTTCAAAATTGACTTATTGCAGAGAATACCTGGAAATTTTATAGAATGCGAACATAAAACAAAGGTTTTGTAATTGCATGGTGCATACTTTTAGGCAAATGTCAGTGATGCACAAAAGGGTATTTTAGGAATGATTAGAAAATAAATATAACTATCGAGAGTAACTGAAAATTTTTAAAAAAAAACTGAACATTTTGAAAATAATATTGACATTTTGAAAGCATAGGACAAAGACTGCGACGTATTAAACCGGTATCGAAAGTCAAGAAAAATATATATTTTTAAATCGTGGACATATATAGAGTTAATAAGGGTCCAAAACTTAATAAAAGTACAATTTTGCGAAATATATAGGGTCCGACAATAAAAAGTGAATATAACTTTAGCCATATAGCTACAGAGGGAGCTATATGGCTATGGGGAAGCTCTATGGGCGTTGGTCCATCGGTCTTTCGGGTTGGCTGGTGACCACAATAACTCTCGAAAGTGTATCCGATTTGATTCAAACTTGGTACATCGTAATATTATTATCAAACATAGATCGTGTTCGGTGATGGGTAATATCTGTCCACTCCTTCAGATACCTCCCCCACAGAAGAAAATTTTCATAGAAAAAAATTTACAATTTTGTACAAACTATTCAAATCTTAATATATTTATCGGTGCTAGGTTAAGTGCCTCTCCCATAACGGGGTCAAAATTTTTTAATAACCCTAAAGCCAATAATACGCGGAACATCTAAATATTTCCATCAACACAAGATCAGATGTGTTTATGGAATATATGGGACCACTCCTCCTGGTACCTCCACCACAACGGGAATGGAATAGCCGTTAAATACGAAGTGAGCATTCTATGCCTTTCAAACTCGAAAAATCTCAATATTTCTATCAACACAAGATCAGTTGTGAAAATTCCTTCTGGTACCTTCCACACAAAGGGTCAAAGTTTTGATTAATTATATCTTTCATGAAATTTTGAAATGAGCGCACATTCTAAAATTTATGATATAACAAGATGTTGTGTGAAGGTGGAATACATCTGTCCATTCCTTCCCCACAACGGATTCATTTCAAACTTCAAACATTCCCATATTTCTACTTACACGAGATCTGTTATGAATATGGTACATATCGACCTACTGGTACTGGTACCTTCTCCCACAAGGGGGTCTACGTGTTTCGCCTATCTCAATATGTTTACCAACACAAGATCTGGTATGATAAAAGGGACCACCCATAAAACGCGAAATAAACACCCAATTCTCAACTTTCATACACTCCACTATTTTTATTGGTTCAATATTTGATTTAAATATGAGATATATCGATCTACTCCCTTTGATACCTCCCCCACAAAGGTATTAAAATTTTGAATAACAAAAACATGAATAAAATGTAACATAAGTGCGCGATTCATTCTAAGCTTCAAACCTTGCAATATTTCTGCTAACATAAGATCAGGTTTGAAGAAGGTAGATGTCGGCTCACTCCCCCTGGTACCTCACCCACAAAGGGGTCAACATTTTGACAAAAAAAAAACCTATTAAAATGGAAAATAAATATTCGATTCTCTTCAAATTTCACACATCCCAATATTTTTACTATCAAAAGATCTGTTGCGAAGATGGTAGATATCCGTCCACTCGTTTTCTTATCTCCTCCCACAAAGGCGTCAAAATGCGAAATAAGCATTTGATACCTTCTAAATTCGGTACATCCCAATACTTTTGCCTACTCGAAGATCTGGTATGAAGTTTACAGATATCGACCAAACCCTTTTGGTACATCCCCAAAAAAAAAAAATGTGTCAATATTTTCAATACTTGTATATCTCATAATTTATGAAACATGTTGGCGATTCTTTTCAAACTAAAAATTTCCCTTCTTTGGTACCTCCCCCACAAAGGGATCAACATTTTGAATAGTTATGGCTCTCATAAACGCTCTCTGAATCCGTCTAAACTTCGCACATTCCAATAACAACAAATAATAATTCCAAGATCTAGTGTGAAGATGATAGATATCGGCCTACTGGTACCTCTCCCGCAAAGGTTCACAACTTCCCCCATAAAGGGTTAACAATGTGAATAATCATAACGCAAGTCAAAAAAAAAAATGTTAAAATAAACGAACATTGGCTGAGGTCAAACATCCGTCTCCAATACCAGGTAAAACTTTTTAATTTATTTTTTATACCCTCCACCATAGTATGGAGGGTATATTAAGTTTGTCATTCCGTTTGTATATATATTCTTGATCAGCATAAAATTCTATGTCGATTTAGCGAATCAATCTAGCTTCCGAACCAAATGAAGTAGGTTGATAAATTTTTACTCAAATGTATATTATATCTGCAGGACTTTTGTTATTGAAAATGTATGTCTTCGTATAGCCCCCATATAACGGTACCTCCCGATATTCGGTATTCGGTATTTTGATGATTTTACCGACATTATTTACCGGAATTGTTTCAAATTTGGTATTTGAAGTTCGTAGTGGATACTACAGCCTATGATAGAAAATTGTTCGTGCAGGTCCACGTCTTCGTATAGCCCCCATATAACCGTACCTCCCGATATTCGGTATTTTGATGATTTCAGAGACATTACTTACCGGAATTGTTTCAAATTTACCTATAACGTTACCTCCCGATATTCTGTATTTTGATGATTTTAGCTACATTATTACCGTTTTTTTTTTAAGTTTCGCATTAGAATATTTTAATGGCTTATGACAAGTGTTAGCCATGCAGTTCCATGTCGTCGTATAGATCCTAATATAGCAGCTACATTCGGTATTTTTAAGATTTTAACAGAATTTTTAACGGATTTTATTGTTTTGAGAATTGCCAAATTCGTTCCAAATGGTGGAGGGTAGTGTGGACAAAGACCGTTGAATTATCCCTCTGAATCATTATCCGTATCAAACAGTGTCTTGTTTTGGATGTATCGGCTATTCAATATATGCGTATGGGGTTTCTGTGCCCCAAATGCAATAAATATTTATTTTCTGACAAAATTGAAATACGAAATTTTCGCACATATTCTGCAAGACACTATTTGCCTCAAACACAAGGATTTATACAAATCTAATCTGAAATTTTCAAATATTGTACAAGATACGCTAATTTCCTTACCCTCTACTTCGGCAGCTTTACGGTGTAAATTTTTAAACGCCGATAAACTATTTATCCATTTTTAGCTCTACTCTCATAATCTTTTGAGTTTTTCATGTAATTTTGAAAATAAAAAAAATTTTGTCGCCTAGTGTAGTTAGAAAAACCTCTCATACATGTATATATTATGAATTTTTATGTAAAAAGAGAGATTTCCGTATTATTTAAACGTTATTGATTATCTGAAAGAAGTATATATATTTTTTTAATTTCCTAAAAATCTGTCTTCCCTGTTACTTTCCATATATGTACCTAAAATATTAGTAGAGTTGTCATTTCCAAAGACTTGTAATTAGATATTTACCTCTATGTGTTCTTTACTGTAGTTATATCTTTCCTTACACTTTCAATATCTTTGCCGGTTAAACTTTCCCTTCTTCTTCGTTTATTTATTCAATTCTGAAAGAAAATCAAATTTTGAGTTATGGTAATAAACGGAATACCTAACGTATACGTGTTGTCGTTACGTATACGCCACCAGTTACGTCTTGTTATAAAACAGTGTTAAATGGGAGGTCTATGTGTTCAGGTCTCCATAATTTTTTTCACCAACAGAGCCACCAATGAGTATGAAGGATACTCTAATTATTATCACCCCTGTCAGGCAACTCATTGATTATTTTCCTCCGCTTTTATCACAGAGCTCATCAAAGAAACAATGCTGTTAATTTATTTATAAACATAAAAAATTAAAAAAAAATAAAATAAAATTCAAAAATAAATAAAATATCTAACCAAAAACTAAAAGTGAAAAAATTGGATAAAACTATTAACGCAAGAACACAAAATAAACTAAAAACATCTAAAAGAAAAAAACAAAATACTAAAAATCCTTCTCCCCTCAAATAAAAACCCCTTCCCTAAAAACCGCCACAACAAAAATTACCAACACGAATAAGAATAAGAAATTAAGTTTGATTTGTTGTCATTTTTGTCAAAATTTGTTTGCCAAAAGCCTTGCAACAATTACAAAGAACATCATCAACAACAACAAACAACAAGAACAACAACAACATCCCCCAAATAAGACAAAAACATACAACAATATGACACACAATCGTGAAAATTTACGCTTAAGTTTGCACGATTTGCAACAGACCACCACAGCACCCATTAACTCATCATCCAGTTCATCCAGTGTCTCACAATCCATGTCCGTGATAGCTAACCAGGCCATAACCACTGTGGCCAATAAATTTTCGAAGGGCGGTGGTGCAGCGGCAGCGGGGGCGGCATATCAAAATGAAAAATGCGAACGCTTAAAGAAAATGACATCGATAACATGTTCCGATTCCGAAGATGATTCCGAGCGGCGAATACAAATGGATGGCAATGGCAAATGGCAAATAGGGGGCTATGAAGGTGTAAGTTATAATGCGAGGGGGGGTTCAGAAGGTCTAAGATTTATGGGTTTTATTTTCTCAATTTTTGGTTATTATTAGGAAAATTTATTACGATTTCCTTTTTCTAAAAATTCAATTTTTTATCCTTACAGGACACCCGCACACACATTGTCCACGAAATCTTTCGCAATGAACAATCCTATGTTGAATCCCTGCAAACCATGGTCAATCGTTATCTCAAGGCATTGAAATCGCCCGAGCATGCCGGTGTCATAGAGGCCCGCACAGTGGATGAAATCTTCTTTATGGTTCCCGACATCCTTGAGATCCATGAGAAATTCTTGGCCGAACTGCGTAACCGTTTGGACAATTGGGATGCCCAACAAAAAGTGGGAGATGCTTTTATGGAAACGGTAAGAAGTACTTTTTTGTAGATTAGAACTCTAATTTTGAATACCCTTCCTTTTAGTTTTCCAAACTAGAAGTCCTTGAGGTCTACACTTCGTTTGTGAACAATTGTAGTCGTGCCAAAAATGCCATTCGCACAACAAAACATCAACGACCTGCATTTGCCAAATTCCTGGAGACAACGGCCCGCGAACACAAGGGCAAGCTGACCCTGGACTACTTGCTAATCAAACCGGTGCAGAAGTTTCCAAAGTAAGCGAACGAGAGCTTTAACTTTCATTCTGAAGCTCTTCTATGGCCATGGCTATAACCCGAAGACCTTCTGAAGCTCTTCTATAGCCCGAAGACCTTCTGAAGCCCTTTTATAGCCCGAAGACCTTCTGAAGCCCTTCTAAGGCCCGAAAAACTTCTATAGCCCAAAGACACCTGAATCCTTTCCATAGCCCGAAGACCTTCCGAAGCTCTTCTATAGCCCGAAGACCTTCTGAAGCTCTTCTATACCCAGAAGACCTTCTGAAGCTCTTGTATACCCAGAAGACCTTTTAAAGCTCTTCTATACCCAGAAGACCTTTTAAAGCTCTTCTATAGCCAGAAGACCTTTTAAAGCTCTTCTATAGCCAGAAGACCTTTTAGAATTCTTCTACAGCCAGAAGACCTTTTAAAGCTCTTCTATAGCCAGAAGACCTTTTAAAGCTCATCTATAGCCCGAATACCTTCTGAAGCTCTCTATAGCTAGATGGCCTTCTGAAGCTTTTCTATAGCTAGACGGCCTTCTGAAGCTCCTCTATAGCTTAAAGACCTTCTGAAGCTCTTCTTTGGCTAGAAGACCTTCGGAGTTTCTTCTATGGCTAGAAGACCTTCGGAAACTCTACTATGGTAAGAAGACTTTCGGAAGCTCATCTATGGCTAGAAAACCTTCGGAAGCTCTTCTATACATAGAATGCCTTCTGAAACTCTTCTATAGCTAAAAAACCTTCTGAAGCTCTTTTAGATATAGAACACCTTCTAATGTTCTTTTAGACATAGAAGACATTCGGAAGCTCATCTAGACACAGAAGACTCTTGTACAACTAGAAGACCTTCGGACGCTCTTCTGCAACTAGAAAACATTCTTCTATGGCTAGAAACCCTTTTGAAGCTCTTCTATGGCTAGAAGACCTTCTAAAGCTCTTCTATGCCCAGATAACCTTCTAAAGCTTTTCTATACCCAGAAGACCTTCTAAAGTTCTCCTGGACGTAGATGATCTTCGGAGACTCCTCTATTCTAGAAAAGCTGTTGTATGTCTTTAATTTTTTCATTATTTATTTCCCATTTCTCTCTCTCAGCTACGAACTACTCTTCCAAAGACTTATCAAACACACCGATCACGATCATCCCGACCACAAACACCTGCAGGATGTCCTCAAGCTGGTGCACGACATCCTTGTGCATATCAATTGCAAAGAGCGTGAAATTCTCGAAAATGGTCAGCGTGAGGCAACGCTGCGTGAACTGGAGGGTGTTATTGAAGGCATAACCGATCTCATTGCACCGGATCGACAATTTTTACTTTTCGATTTGGTCACCATGCCTTCGGGGCAGGGGGCACGCAAGGAGCGGGGTTTCTTTTTGTTCAACGATTTGCTGGTATTGACGAGCATCAAAAAACGAAGTGGCACCATACGAAAACCGAATACGTGAGTTTTAGAGAATTGCCTAATGGTTTATAGAAATGTAATATAATTTTTCCCATTTTTCTTGGTCCTTTAGAACAACATGTCCGGGCACAGTGGCCTCCACGCTGGATACCAATAAATATAAATTTTTAACCAAGATCTCGTTGGATTGCTTGGAAATTGTTAAGAGTAAGTAAATCGAAATAGAAAACAGGAGGGAAACGGAGAAGCTTAAAATGAGATCCAAGGGAATGGCGTATAAGTGTTATCAATATGTATACGCACTGGTTCCAATACACACTCATATATACGGAGATGGTTTGTAAACGGTTGATGCGATATCAATTCGCCGCCTAATTTTACCATGGCATATATTTCCTTTTGTGCTACCTAAATAGGTGGCGTATACGTGTTGCCATAACGTATACACCCTTTCATCTTTATAATATTTAAACATTTAATTATTTCCCTCCATACCCCGTATATTCTCGACTAACATAAGAAACTCTTTCTTTCTTGTTTTCGCAGCAAAAGATGAAAACATCAAACGCATTATGACTGAAATCGAAAATCTCGCAGAAGACTGCAACAAACTACAACAGATCAGTGAAATAACATCCTCTCTCAAAATGCCGCATCAGTATTTGGAAGATGTCATCCGAGAATTGTTGCGCGATGCCCAGCGCCAATTGTCCGAGAGACAGACAAATGATGCTCAACTGAATATGCTCGAATTAGCGGTTAATTCGCCGTGAGTAATGTCCACTTTTTAACTAATTAGAGGTAGACTAATTGTTTTTTTTTTTCTCTCTTCCAGAAATGGTACTCAAAAGTTATCCATAGTCTTTAGTAAGTCTGAAAAGAGAACACAATGGGAGGAGACATTTAATGAAGCCAAACAAAAATTAGGTAAGTTCTGAAAATTTGAGAAAATCCAATGGAACATTGGGGAGTATGATTGATGTCATAAAGTATACGCACAGATCATTTTGCGAAATAGACTATCAGCTCCCAAGATTCACCACTCTAAGGACAGCTTCTGTGAAGTAATTTGCCTACAATATTCAATAACTGGCTTCAAAAGTGGCAAGCCATGGATCAGCGGCCTCTATATTTGACTATCAGACCATAGAGGTCTCTATTGTAAAATTTGTATCCCTCTTTACCTCTACTCCACAGTAGCTGCAATAAGACACTACTACTGTAGCGTAACTAGCTTCAGAAGGCTATCCTGAAGAGAAAGTGACTCCATGTCGGGAAACTAAACTCAGAGGTCAATGCCAAACATTTGACTCTTGAGATTTCTACTTTAGGGTAGTTGAAGTCCCCCACTGAAGCAACAGTCCTCAGACTTTCCTATTATATATAAAAACTGCATTTTGAGATCTCTACTCCGAGTCCTCACCACTGAAGCAGCAGTCCTCAGATATTTCTATCATAGAAAAACTGAATTTTGGGATCTCTACTGTAAAGTAGCGTAACTGGTCTCAGAGGGCTATCCCGTAGAGAAACTGAGCGAAAAGACCTCCGCCTTCAGAGGTCAATACTAGAATTTGATTCTTGAGATTTCTAATTTTTGGGTAGTTGAAGTACCCCACTGAAACAGCAGTCCTCAGACGTTCCTATTATATATAAAAAAGTGCATTTTGAGATCTCCACTGTTAAATAACTGGACTAAGAGGGCACTTTTATAGATAACCTTTTCTGAAATGGAACTCTGCCAAAAGATTTCAACTGTCGAGGAACTAAACTCAGAATCCACTGCTGAACACCCAGAACACCTGTCCTCTGGTGAGGAGAAACGTAAACTTGAGAGTAGCTGACTTCAATGCTCTCTGCTGAAAATAGGTTGCATCTAGCGGAGAGTAGTTGCCCTCAGTGATCTCTGCTGAAGATTAACTGGCCACAGAGACCTCTATGGGAATGTAGCTATTACGGGATGTCTGAGATATTTTCTCTTGGTTAGGTAGCCTTAGAGTACTCCACTTTAAAAGGGCTCAGATTAGAGGCTGTAAAGTACCTTGCCTCAGAGGTCGCTATTGCAGATTCAACTTGAAAGTGGCTGACTTCAGCGATCTCAGCTGAAAGTAGGTTGTCTCAGAGGCCTCTGCAGGTGAGTAGCTGCCCTCAGTGACCTCTGCTGAAGATTAACTGGCCACAGAAATGTCTGTGGGAGAGTAGCTATGTACAGACGATTATATTACGAGTTGTCAGAGAATTTTTTTTTTTTTTTGGTATCTAGCCTCAGAGTTCTACACTTCATAGATGAAAACTTTAGAGGTTATTATTACATAAAATCTGGACCTCTGCTGTAAAGTAGCTATACTAATGGGATAATTATAAAGAAAAGCAGCTCCAGAGGCTTTGCCCCACCCGACGACATATGCTGATGTTTAGGTGGTGGCATCAGGCACTTATATTCACGATTTCATAGATGATAACTTCAGATTTCTTCTTCGGAATCCTCTGCTAATTGATTACTACCATAAAATGTGTGAAGTCGCTACAGTAAAGTAGCTGGCTTGAAGGGTTGCTAGTCTAAGGTAATTGGACTCAGAGTTCACCACTGTCGAGTAGCCTACCCCCTCTTGTAGAGCTGTTGGCCTTAGAGGTCGCTGCCGTAAAGTAACTGGCCTCAGTGGTCACTGCAGCAAAGTAGCTGGCCTCCGAGGTCATTAGTGTAAAACAGGTGGTCCCAGAGATCGTTATTGTACACCTGCTGGCTTTGGAGCTCGTTGATTTAGAGAAGCTGACCTAGTGTAAAATAAGTGGCCTCAGACGTCGCTATTGTATAGCTACTTTTTTTTCGCTAACTGGCCTTAGACATGGTTTTGTAGAGTTGCTGGCCTCAGAAATCGCTACAATAAAGTAGCTGGCTTCAAGGGTTGCTTGTTTCTAGGCCCCAATTGTAGAGCTGCCGGCCTTAGAGGTCGCTGCTGTAAATTAACTACAGCAGAATACGTGGCCTCAGAGTTCGCTAGTGTAAAACAGGTGGCTTCAGAAGTCTCTTTATGGAGCTGCTGGCCTTGGAGTTCGCGAAAGTAAAAAAACTGGCATCAGAGGTCACTGCAGCAAGGAAGCTGGCCGCAAAGGTCGCAAGTGTAAAACAGGTAGCCTCAGGGGTCGCTATTGTAGAGCTGCTTTCCTCAGAAGTCGTCATTGCAAAGTGGCTGGCCTCAAGAATCTCTGCTATAAAGTAGCTCGCCTCAGAAGTCGCTGCTATAGAATAGAGAGTCTCAGAAGTCGCTAAAGTAAGGTAGCTGGCTTCAAGGGTTGCTATTCTAAAGCAGCTTGCCTCAGAGGCTCCTATTGTAAAGCTGCTGGCCTTGAGGTGGCTGCCGTAATGTAATTGGGCTCAGAGGTCGCTGCAGTATTGTAGCTGCCCTCGGAGGTCCCTAGTGTAAAGCAGGCGGCCTCAGAGGTCGCCCCTGTAGAGTGTCATTCCTCAGCAGTTGCCGCTGAAGAGTAGCTGGTCTGGGAGGTCGCTACTGCTAAGTACCTTGCGTCAGAGGTTGATATTGTAAAGAAGTTTGTCTTAGATGCGTTAATAAAGTAGCCTAAAGAGGCTACCAATACCATATATCTGACTTCCATGGCCCCAAAAGTCTATGCAGGTGAAATATTGGTTTCAGAGTTGAGTTGCCTTAGAGGCCCATTTTTAAGAGGTCTAGAGTCTCTGTCCCTAGCTTAAAAATCGTGACCCGAAAAGCCTCTCATATATATCTCATTAATAGAAATTAATAATCCCTTTCCTTTCATGTTTTTCCTTTTTCCAGCCGCCACTTTGGAACGTCATCCCATACCCGAGTTCTTAACCTCAATACCGATACGCAAAACCAGAGCCGGTCTACAATTCACCTGTGCCGCTGCAACGCTAAGTGAGAAACGTGACGTTTGGGTGTGCAACAGTGATGGTTATGTGGGACAAGTGTGCATTATGTCATTGCACCCCGAACCGAATGTGACCAGCTGTAATGGTGTTTGTAATGCTCGCATTTTGTGTGTTGCCTCTGTACCTGCTTATAGTCCTCATAGTTCTTCCATTAAATCCACATCTTCCTCGAATGATGAACAGTCTGTGTCATCGTCCACAACAAGCTCAACACTGAAACAGCAGCATCAGCAACAGCACCACCACCATCATCACCAGCAGCAGCAACAACAACAGCAACGCTCTTCCTTACCTCCGCTAAGTTATACTCAACAGTTGTTAGACTATCGTAAGAGCATTTCTCCCAACTATTCCAACCCCTCGTCGCTGATTGGTACACCGGAAAAGAAACGTGACAAATCACAATCGAATAGTTTGGCTGGTGGCGGCAGCAGCAGTTCGGTGGCTGCTTCAACGGCCAGCGGAGGTGGTGCCGGGGCTAATAATAGTGATATTCAATTAGATTTAAATTTAAGTTCCAGCGATGAAGAGGCTGAGGCGGCAAATGCTGCGGCGGCCGCTTCCAGTGGTGTGAATTCCTCGTCAGGGGGAGTGGGCAATAGCCACGGTAGTGGCATATGCGAGCGAGTGCCAAGTCCGGCACCATCAACTCATACAACGGGTTCAACGTCGACAGCATCGACGGCCATTGTGGGTAGTAGCAGTACATTATATCATGGACATCAGGTGAGTTTTAAGACATGCTTAGAGAGAAGTCTGGGGGATAGAGGCGTATAAGTGCTGACGTAACGTATACGCCCTGTCTTTTAATATTACTTTGGTTCTATCATTAATCTTGATCTTCTTCTCTGTTTTTTTTAGGACTCCAACCCCGACGAAAGTGATGGCAATCAATCGACCATGTGGATCGGCACCGAAGATGGCTGCATACATGTCTACAATAGCACCGATAACATACGCATCAAAAAGAATCGCATCAAGATTGAACATCATGCTGCGGTCTACTCAATTTTGTAAGTCTGCCTTCAACAGCTCCTGCTCTACTTCAAATTGAAAATTTAAATCTCTTCCTCTTCCCGAAGGTACCTGGACAATCGTGTATTTGTGGCCTTGGCTAATGGCGATATATGCGTTTATTTACGTGATGGAGCTGTCTGGAATACCACATCATCACATTGTTTATCCATTGGAACTGTGACCAGTCCGGTGACGAAGCTACTCAATGTCCATGGCCGATTGTGGTGTTCGATACAGGGCATCATCAAAGTATTGGACATTGAAACGTTGGCGGTAAGTTTTAAAGGCATTTCGAAGAAGGATATCTTTTTCAATGTTTGCTATTTTCTTGCATCCTTCAGGTGGTCAATCAAATCCAAATCTCATCGGACTCAAAGCCCATAACAAATATGTGTGTATCCAGTAATTATGTCTGGATTTCAATACAGAATTCAGCGCACATCAAATGTTTCCATTCCAATACGTAAGTATCCAAAACGAAGAAAGTGGTCCTACAATGCACGAGTCCCAGAAGCCTCTATCATAGACTGTCTGACCTTAGAGGTCTTTACTGGCCTCAGAGGGCACTACTGCAAAGTTGGTGGAGTAGCAGGCATCAGATGTCGCCACTGTAGAGTAGCTGGCCTCAGAGGCCACTACTGTAGAGTAGCTGGCCTCAGAGGCCTCTACTGTAAAGTAGCTGGCCTCAGAGGCCTCTACTGTAAAGTAGCTGGCCTCAGAGGCCACTACTGTAGAGTACCTGGCCTCAGAGGCCACTACTGTAGAGTACCTGGCCTCAGAGTCCTCTACTGTATAGTAGCTGGCCTCAAAGGCCTCTACTGTAGAGTAGCTGGCCTCAGAGGCCTCTACTGTTGAGTAGCTGGCCTCAGAGGCCTCTACTGTAGAGAAACTGGCCTCAGAGGCTTCTACTGTAGAGCAACTGGCCTCAGAGGCTTCTACTGTAGAGCAACTGTCCTCAGAGGCCTCTACTGTGAAGTAGCTGGCCACAGAGGCCTCTACTGTGGAGTAGCTGCCCTCAGAGGCCTCTACTGTTGAGCAGCTGGCCTCAGAGGCCTCTACTGTTGAGTAGCTGGCCTCAGAGGCCTCTACTGTAGAGAAAGTGGCCTCAGAGGCTTCTACTGTAGAGCAACTGCCCTCAGAGGCCTCTACTGTTGAGCAGCTGCCCTCAGAGGCCTCTACTGTAGAGTCGCTGGCCTCAGAGGTCTCTATTGTAGAGTAGCAGGCCTCAGAGGCCTCTACTATAGAGTAGCTGGCCTCAGAGGCCTCTATTGTAGAGTAGCTGGCCTCAGAGGCCTCTATTGTAGAGTAGCTGGCCTCAGAGGTCTCTATTGTAGAGTAGCTGACCTCAGAGACCTCTACTGTAGAGTAGCTGGCCTCAGAGGGCTCTACTGTAGAGTAGCTGTCCTCAGAGGGCTCTACTGTAGAGTAGCTGGCCTCAGAGGCCTCTACTGTAGAGTAGCTGGCCTCAGAGGCCTCTACTGTAGAGTAGCTGGCCTCAGAGGCCTCTACTGTAGAGTAGCTGGCCTCAGAGGCCTCTACTGTAGAGTAGCTGGCCTCAGAGGCCTCTACTGTAGAGTAGCTGGCCTCAGAGGCCTCTACTGTAGAGTAGCTGGCCTCAGAGGGCTCTACTGTAGAGTAGCTGGCCTCAGAGGGCTCTACTGTAGAATAGCTGGCCTCAGAGGCCTCTATTGTAGAGTAGCTGGCCTCAGAGGCCTCTACTGTAGAGTAGCTGGACTCAGAGGCCACTACTGTAGAGTAGCTGGACTCAGAGGCCACTACTGTAGAGTAGCTGGACTTAGAGGCCACTACTGTAGAGTAGCTGGACTCAGAGGCCACTACTTTAGAGTAGCTGGCCTCAGAGGCCACTACTTTAGAGTAGCTGGACTCAGAGGCCACTACTTTAGAGTAGCTGGACTCAGAGGCCACTACTTTAGAGTAGCTGGAATCAGAGGCCACCACTCTAGAATAGCTGGCCCCAGAGGTCGCTACGGTAAAGTAGCTGGCTTCAGATGTACGTACTAGAGAGTAGCTGGCCTCAGAAGTCTGGAGTATCTGGACTGAGTGGTTGCTACTGTAAAGTAGCTGACCTTAGAGGTCGCTACCGTAGAGAAGCTGGCCTCAGGAGTCGCTACTCTGAAGTAAATAAATTGTCGCTTTTCTAGAGTAGATGGCCTCAGTGGTCGCAACTCTAGAGTAGGTGGCCTTAGAGGTCGCCACTATACAGTAGATGGCCACAGAAGTCTCTATTATAGAGTATCTGGCTTCAGAGGTCGCTACTCTAGAGCAGCTGGTCTCAGAGGTCACTACTCTACAGTAGATGGCCTCAGAGATCTCTACTCTAGGGTAGATTTCCTCAGAGCTCGCTAGTGTAGAGTAGCTTTCCTCTGAGGTCGATATAATAAAGACTTGACCTTCGAAGTCGCCATTCATAAGTAGCAGGTCGCAGAGGTCGCTTCTGTACAGTAGTTGGCTTCATAGGTCGCTATTGCGGAGTAGGTCTCCACTCTAGAGTAGGTGACCTCAGAGGTCGTTAGTGTAGACTAGCTGGCCTCAGAGGTCGCTGCTGTGGAATATCTGGCCTTAGAGATCGCTATTGCTGACAAGCTGTTCTCATAGGCCATTACTGTTCAGTAGCTGGCCTCAAAGGTCACTGCTGTGGGGTAGGTGTCCTTATAGTCCCCTCCCGAGTATGTCCTACCCCAAATCCCCACCTCCATTACAAGTTATTCTAATCTCTCTCCCCTCTCTTTCACAGACATCAACTCATCACCGAAGTTAATTTGGCTCAGGCTGTGAATAAAATGCTCTCGAACTGTGACGAAATTATACGCCAACACAAGGCTGCCTGTCTGCGTGTTACATCGCTTCTCTCATGTCGCGATCTTATTTGGATTGGTACCAGTGCTGGGGTGCTGCTGACAATACCCTCACAAGGCTATGAAAAGGGTGCACCAAATGTGGTGCCCACAGGCATACCTCATGGCCATACGGGTCATGTGCGGTTCCTTACCTACGTTGAGACAACTGGAGCCACAGGCAGTGCGTCGAGCGGGGAAAGTGGCAAGGATCATGAAACAAATGCCGGTTCAAAATCACCCAAACCCAAAGGAGAAAGTGCCGCGAATTCTGCCACCAGTACACCCGGTAATATACTCATCATTTCTGGCGGTGATGGTTATGAAGATTTCCGTAACTCTGGCGCTAATTCGCTCAGCGAAATTGCCGGACGCGAAGACAGCACGAATCATCTGCTTATATGGCAAATTTGAGCCCGAAGGCGTAAAAATCGCTGGCGCGTACTACTCAAACGTTGGAAGAATAATAATTAGCATCAGCTAAATATGATTTTAGGTAAAAAGTTTCGAACGTTTTAGCCGCTGTGTATGGGTGTGGGTAGCGTAGCTGTTACGCCGTAAAAAATGGAATGAAAAGAGAAAACAAAACTATTGGGGAAAATGGAAGGCTAGAGGAAAAGGGAAATGAGATAGGGAGAGAAAGTGAAAATGAGAGTTGGCTATTGTGGGGTGTATCAAATGACAGCCCAGCCATCTGCAGGTTTCTTTCTTTCCCACATCCATTGTCTAACAAAAGAAATTAACAAAACTGAAATACTGTCTTATACTGATGTGCCAAATGAACACAAAACTAAATTTGTGGTATTGCTTCAGTTGCGAATGATTCTGATTTTGTTTGTTTTCAATCGCCTTTTTGGTTTGCAAATTTGTCTTTAAGCTGGGGTTTTAGAAGGCATTTTGAATAAATTTTTTTCTTGATACTGGGGAAGAACAAGTCAAGTTTGAGGGGTGAGATATTTATATTTGTGGCAAAAAAAAATATTTTGAAATGAACAATTTTTAATCACTTATATCGAAATCCTTTAAGGATATTTTTTGATGAAATATTTTTAGATACATATATTTTTTTAATACGACATCGCCTTCCGACACATTTTCGGTATTTTGATATTTATTTGCAAAATTCAATGGAAAAGTTTTACTTATTTCTCGATTCTCCTTGTTTCGGTTATAATTTTGAATGTGTTATGAATAACTTTTCGAAAAACATGGGGAAATATTAAAGCGATTTTAGGAAATATTGTTTTTGTAGCATTAAATATAGATTTAAACATATATAGCAGACAATCCATGAAAGGCCCCTATAGGCGATCTAAGGAATGGTTTATTAGCAACCCGAAAAAATTAATTGACATGGTTGGAAGATCATGTTTTTAAGGTATTTGTAGGCAGATTTTTTCTAGCATATAGCCGCTGATATAAGATTTAAGGTAAACCGCTGAGAGATTTTCCGGTCAAAACGAGAGGAAATTCTTACGAGTCTTCATAGAAAATCTAAAACAATTAAAAAACGAGAAATAATATAGAGTCTTAAAAGACGGGCCTTAAATTATTTATTTTAGAACCCTAGGGATTTTTGACAAGCGTACCATTTTTGGCGAACTGAAGAACATATTATTAGGCAAGTTATATATAGCCTTTTTAGAGCATTTCGACAGACTTAGATAACGAATTTTTATTATTAAAATTGTAATCTTAATAGACGAGATATGAAGCGCTCTGTGAACTTTCGTGCCACGAAGTTTTTAAATTTGAGTCCTTTAAAATGAGTTGTGAAGTCGGGAGCTTCTATGGTAGAGACCCGGTGGACTCGTGTGTTAAGTGGTCGTTACAGCAGCTAATTTTACCTGAAGTTCATCACTTTGAGGATATAAAGGCCTCCACAAGAATTTTCTTAGAATTTCCGACCAAGGCGAAAAATATATCAGAATTGATAGACATTAAAACCTCCGATGAGAAAAAAAAAATGGTGGCTTTTGAAGGGATCTGAGAGAGTCGGCTAAATGAATAAAATGCGACGGACCAAATCAAATTATTTAGAGGAGGTCTAAAACTAGACAATAAAAAGGAACTTTTTGCAGGTCCCAAGGCAAGACCTGAGAGACAATCCAAGCGATTGCCAAAAGAGACCTGAAAGGGTTTTTTTTTTAATGAAAATGGTAGTCAGTCGAAATAATTATGTAAATAGGCAAACCCAATACAACCTGTCTGTATAATTCACCTAAAAGTACAAAAAAATCGTAAAGGAGATCTAAAATAAGGCCTTCAAAAGGGAATTATTTGCAGTTCGTAAAAGTGGGTTTTATAGACCATTCAAAGGATTAATAAGAGAGTTGACATGAGGTAACTGCAACTGGATCTGTAAATTTACCTAAAAGTAGCAAAAATCAGCCTTTAAATTAGGTCAAAAATATGGCCTTGAAAGGAACTAAATGCAGTACCTACAAGTAGGCCTTAGATATCATCCAAATTCCAAGAAAACTGAAAGATTTTTATGGAAATGGTAAGCAGACGAAAAAACTCCAATTGAACTGCCCATGATTCCATGTAGAATTGCCTATAAGTACTAAGTACATAGAAACTTTTATAGAAGGTTCAAAACAAGGCATTGTAGATGAATTTAAAAACAGTGCCTAAAGGTTGACACTGCGAGATCCAATCGACCATTAGCAACAGACTTTGCTGAATTGACGTGAAAGTCTCAAAAAGAAGTCTTTGAAGGTGGTCTAAAACAAGGCCTTAATGAGGAATTAAATGCAGTGCCTAAAAGTAGGCTTTAGAAAGTATTCAATCTGTTGTTGAAATCAGAACCGAAAGCCTCTTTATGAAAATGGAAAGGATCAAATTAAAGGGCTTATATGAGGTCTGAAACATAACTCTAAAAAAAAGTGGACTCGTAGTAAGACCTGAGAGACAATCCAAACGAGTTACCAGAAAAAGTTAAAATTTTCTGATGGAAGATACAAGAAAAAAAATTAAACCCCAACACGACTTGTCAAACTGCCTATGAGCAACTGCAACAAAATCTACAACTTGACAAGGATATTTCTTTCTTAAGAGATTACAATTGAATATACTGATGGACTCATAATCCGACTTTTCCCAATTAAATTTGATTAAGATTTAAAATTGACCTTTAGGTTTTTTTTATCTATTTTAGATTAAAATATGCGCCAAAAAGTAGGCAACGCTTCGGATTTTTAATTTTGTAATTTTTAATTATGGTCCCAGAAAGGTAAAAAATTCGATTCTTTTATCTGTTAGTAAAAATATTATCCATTAAATTCGAAATCGACTTTGAACGAATTTGTTGTTTGATTTAAGAGTCGTCCTCCTAGTTAAAGAAAAAATTAGTTTTTTAGTGGTTATATCGTAAGCAATAAACATTGAAGGGTGGAAAACCTCCCACAGAAAGAAAAATGAAGGCTCGACTTTAGGTTATCAAGTCGGATTTTGCTCGATTGTTTAAGACTTAAAATTGATTTTTCGGTCTATTTTAAATTTTCATATGAGCCAAAAAGTAGGCAATATTTAAAAATTATTATTGTTCCATTCTATTGTCACTAAATAAGTTCAAAATTCAATGGTTTAAAAACCAATTCCATTCAAATTTATTGAGTCTTTTATAACCAACTTTTCGATCTATTGGTCTATTTTAAATTTTCAAATGACCCCAAAGGTAGGCAACTTGTAAACTATTGTTTTTTAATCGACTTCTGATGACTTGGTTGAAAAGTAAATATAGGCCCAATGGGTTCACCAAACAGTTTTTTTTTTTGGGGAACAAGAAATAATTGATGAGGTATTCCAGACTAGTCAGTTTTTTTGTTGTCTGATTATATTTCAAAATCAATTTTCACTGGGTTTTAGTTTTTCATATGGGCCAAAAACTTGAAGATTTGTTCAATATTATTTTTATTTTCTTATCATTTCATTATTAACAAAAAATAGTTCCACGCTTTTATCTGTTAGCAAAAAAAAAAAAAAAATATATAGAAAATTTTAAATTCGAAATCAACTTTAGACGACTTTGGGTTGGAATATAAATATGCACTCAGTCGTCCTTCTTGTAAAAGCATCTCTCGAAACCTTTTGGAAATTGTATCAGATCACAAAGTGGAAATATTTCTAAAGGTATTCCAGCTAAAGGACCGCTGGAACAAATTTAAAATATAAAAAAATTTAAATATATTTTTTATCTCCCCCTTCATGATAAAAACTTGGCTTGTACCTTCCCGGCGTATTTACTTAAATACTTTAAATAACAATCTTGTAAAAAAATCCAAGTTTTTCTTTAAAAGAAAAATACATTTAAGTTTTTGTTGATTTTGTATTGTATTTCTATATATAAAAAAATAATGTTCTTTATATAACTAGAAAGGAAATAATCTAAAAAGTAAATAATTATAATAAAATGAAAAACTATTTTGTGTGTGAACAATAATAAATTGGGGTGAGGGGATGGTCAAAAGAAGGGGTAACAGATATCGTTGGGTAATGGAAATTTACAGAGAAAAAAAAAAACTCCCAGTAATATATGATACTTCTCTCTTTGGCCCTACCCAACCCTTAACAATATAAAAAATAATACTTATAAATATTTTTTTAAAATAATCAAATATTTCTTTTCTAATTTTTATCTACGAAATCTTTTGTCATTAAAACTTTGTTCATTGTATAAATCGAAAAAAAGCAACAACTCATATTTATATGTTAAGGAAAAAATTAAAAATAATAGTAATTATAAATTAAATTAAAATATTATAAATATTTATATAAATAAAAAAATAACTACATGTTATGATTTGTTAACACCCTCCCCCCTTACTTTTTGACTATTTTTAACAAAAAAATTTCCCTTTTTATTTATATAAATTCTACAAAACGAAATCTGTTAATTTCTTCTCTTCGTTGTCAATCTATAAGTACTGTTAATTAATTAAGTCTATTAACGATAATTTCTTAATTTTTAATGTATAAATGGAAATAAAAATTTAATTATACTTTAATATACATTATATTACATTATATTATATTACATTGTACGCATATTGTTTCTAAGTGAATGTCTGTATATTTATACATAAAAAGAATTATTATTATGATTACGATTACATAAAGAAAATAAAACAAATACTTAAAATATATCAAAAAACTCAACTAAAATGTGCAAGTGATTAATCATGTAACCGTAAATGAGTAAATATATTACATTAAATAATATTTTATTGTTAAAACATGAGTTGAAAATTATCTGGGTATTTATATGCCTCTCTGTTATTTCATTGATCATTATATAAGGATATCTTTCTTCCTTTTTCGAAACCTAATGCACCTGCTTGAAGTTGAAGACTTTATTCCATCCAAAGGAAGGCCTTAATGTCGTCTTCTAGAGAATTTTCTCTAATTTATTTACACCTTTCTAGAGCTTTCTCAGGGGCTTTTCTCCCCGTTATTTGCAAATTCTACTTTTCATGATTTTAAAGGAGTTTTTTTCGATAAACAACATGAATTTAAAGATGTCCCACATTTATAGACGATATACTGTAAATCCGCGTTTTGTTTTCGAGGCTCCAATTGCCCTCTTGCCAAAACTTTGTATGATCGGAAAATAAATTTACAGATTTGTTATACCCTCAGCCTAACGTGCCTAATCGAAATAACTATTTTAGACGCTAGGTCTCTTTGGACCAATTCCTTAAACACCTACACAATAAAGGGGTAAGAGTTTGAAAAATCATAACAGAAGTCAAAATACTTTTAAATAATCGAATCGAAGGGTATACATCTGTCAGCAAAACATAAAAAGTCATCTGTCTAAAGGAGACTTGTGTCTATAGGGCAAAGACCTAAAATGGTAAAGACTAGTCAAAATGCATTCTGAGCAAATGTTCATGGCAGGACCATGTTAATATAAAAACACATTTATAGAAAAAAAAAAAAATGACGAACAAAATTTTGAAAAAACCCAAAAATTGGGTTTCAAAATTCTATTCCATAGACTTTTCAAATTAATTGCATATTGCCTAAGCGGTTTAAATCGCATAACATTTCTAACTATGTTGTTACGATATCATAACAACAGAGGTATTTTCACAGGATTGCCATATCTTGACTCTGTCTTGTCCCATCTTTAGACTTCTATGTCTTTGTATAGAGTACTACAGAGAAAATACAGTCAAAAGACCTATTCAAGGACTCCTCTCTCTGTAATAGCATATAAAATTCTTTCTCCAGCAGAAAACAGAAAATATTATTCTGCATATGAAACACTTGGAAAAATCGTCTGTTTGGCAATAGGAATACATAAAGCATCATTCAGTCCGTGGATCACATTTGAATGTAATCTCACCAATACCAAAAATTCTGTCCACATATACATCTGACTACAAAAAATGACACATTCCTCTGATTTCTAAATCGGCGCAGAATTTTATGTTGATCAAAAATATAAATACTTTGTAGGGTCTAAAATGCTTATTTCGGCGAGTTACGGATGGAATCAGAAATCTATTATACCCTCCATAATATGTTGGATGGTATAAACGTGTGCATAGCACCTAAAAGTATACTATAAAAAAACATTGATCATATGAATGGGAAAAAGTCTCTTTACATATGACTCAAATATGATGTGTTATCTCTTTTTTATAGCATCCAGCATACATAGTATGGAGGGTATATTAAGTTTGTAATTCCATGCACAGAGTTCTCTATTGTCTGTGGTCAGATAAAGTTCGAAGATGAGCTATAATGGTCAACGTTTTTGTATAGCCCCAATATACATAATTGTATCTCCCCTCGTTAAAAACCTGAACCTCGGTATTTTGACGATTTTAACGACACTTTCTAACGGAATAATTTAAAATTCCGTATTTAGAATTTATATTGGGATCTATCTCTTGTTCCAGAATTTTGTCTATATAGATCCACTTTTTCATATAGCTCCCATATAATTAAACCTTCCCATATTCGGTATTCTAACAATTTTAGCCACATTTTCTGATGGAATAATTTTAATTTTGGTATTTAGAGTTCGTATTAGGATCTACCTTCCGTGACACAACATTGCATATATAGGTCCACGTTTTTCTATAGCCCCCATGTAATTGTTTACATGTTGTATATTTTGGCGATTTTAGACACACTTTCTATGGGAATAGCTAAAATTTGGCATTTAGGGTTTATATTGGATTCCATATCCTGTAGCAAAAAAAAGTTTGGTTTAGATGTTTCTGATAACAGAAGTGACGCATAACCCTCCACTACTGGAATTTCGACATTAACAAACATATTTTTACTTTCAAATGGTGGTTAACGGCTTTTGACTTGTTAGGATATATTTTATCTGGGGAAAATTTTTATGATGAAAATTTTTATGT